GGAGTCAGGCTCGACCTGGGATTGGCGCGTTGGTCGTCGGTCGGTCGGTCCTCGACTGCAGCGTTTCACCGTCGCTTACCAACGTGCCCAGCACATAATCGCCGATGACCCGGAGGAGCGATAGTCGTGCGGTCAGCATCAATTTGAGACGGCAAGCTCGGCGTTGGCGTTGTGCCTACGGAGACGCTGCCGCCAGTGCCAGTGGCGGCACGTCCAGACGTTTGATCGTAGAAACACATGTTCGCCACAAATAGCAAGCGAAAGGACTGGAGCTGGGAGGACCTATGTTCGCCTCTCAGGAGCGCCAGCTTGGCGTACATTTCTGTGGCAAGCAAGCGGGCTAGGTCGGTGCAGGCGCCGCGTTGTCAGGAGCCTGAGGACGGCGCTTGCCTGCTGGTAGCCCCGGCCGAACAGTGCCGGGGCTTCTGGTAGGTGGGCGCGTGTCTAGATTTGCGCCAACGTCTGCCGGCTAGTGATAGGCCATTTTGCTGGTAGCCAACGGCGAGCCAGAGATCCCGCTCGACTGATGCCTAAGCTACCAGCAATGGTTGCAGCAACTAGAGCGGGGGCGTAATTCAATACTAGCCGTGACACAGGAGTGGGCAGTCTATTTGCAATGATAGATCCATTAGCAATCTACCAATCCAGGCACAACCCTCATGTCTCACATGGAAAAACACACATTGCCTTCAGTGACGTAGGCGCTGCTGGTTCATGCGCCCGCCTGCTTCAGTCAGCATGAGGTGACGCGAAACGACGAAGAGGCGGATCTCCTCCTGGAGGCCGTCGATGTACGCTGTGGACGCCGAGCACAAGTCTTCGTGTTCTTGCTGCCAGTACGTGATGACGCCGCGCAGGTTTTCGAACCGCCTGCTTGATGCCGCCTTCTTTATAGCCATGGCCAACCCGCCGCGGCCCCCGCATATCGCACGCCGCACGTCGCACGCCGTTCGCTGGCCTGCACACCCCGCTCCGGCGATAGACCGTCATCGTCCAGGCCCGCGCGACTACGAGATCGACTCATCAGGCATGCTGGGCCTACTGCAGTGGCGTCCCTGTATGCGTGCGTGGCTGACCAGTTTCACCACGCGCTGTGTCTAGTATGCTACGTCTACGCGTGACTTGTAGCGCGTTTCATCCGGTGTTCTCATAGTTGATTTTTAAATTCTAGCAATGAACATCTCTCAATTCAGGTTGTCAAGAATCAACAACAATCAGTGTGGAGACTGTCAGTTTTGATGTTAGGATTTGACTTTTCGTCTCAAACGACGCACACGATATATAAGAACCCTACAATGTTCAGATGCATTTATATTTGGCTCGACAGTTTTCACGATGGCCGATGAAGGCTTGTATGCCACTTGGAATGATCTCATGAGCCTTGATCCCCCATCACCAGAGAATCATAACGAATATTTCCGTCACCACGATGAAGGAGTGCAATCACTACCCCCATATATCAAAACCGCATATGTTGAAAGTTTGACCTGGCCTGATTACAGAAATGTTCTCAAAACTGAAGGGCGTAGCACGTTCAACTCATGGATGTTGCTGATCCAAGCTTGTCCATCAGCAGAACATGCTATTCATAGCAATCGCTCCATCGAAACTGCTTTCAAGGAAGTGGACCAAGTTATCACCAACAGTCCAGACACAAGTTTGTTACAAAGATGCGCCTACATTCATCTGGCTCAGTTAATGTCTCATGTTACAAAAGTAATGAGAGTGAGGCGTCAAACTGGAACACTTCAAGGCAGAACTGGTAGAGGAGACGCCAGCAATGCGCTTGACACCTACATGCAGGCCCAGCCTTTGTCAGAACACTCAGTAACCTTAAGGACACTACTAAGGAGGCGAATCCGCATTGGAAGAAGATACTCAGCCATTACGAAGGCATCGCTGCTACTAGTTCTGATGTTCGGAGCCAAGGTAGATTCTCTAATGCAGGTAACTTGCGCTCAAAGTCCTTCTTGTACTGATAAATTCCCAGAAAAGATTTTTCTGTAACACAGAGAGCTTTGTCAGCGATTGCCGAGACAGCCTTGATGTCTTTGCCTGTCGATTTGGTCGAGGCTTCCATTGACATGAACAAGGTGCACACTAAAAGCATAGAAGGAAGGCTCGATCCTAGTGATTTGGAGGCTCGCGCCCACGAATTTGAAAATCGCTGCCTAATGACATAACTAATAATGATTGAGATAGGTCTGAGTGTGCGAGGGAAGTGAGAAGCCAATGTCAAGACATGGTCTTGCACTGTGACGGGTGACGGGCTTGAGTGATGGGTTGAGCTTGCGTGATTGGGTTGGGTGATGAACTCGGATGATGAGCTTCAATGATAGATTTGAGTGATGGATTTGGATTTGAGTGATGGATTTGGATTTGAGTGATGGATTTGAGTGCTGGATTTGAGTGGTGGATTTGAGTGATGGATTTGAGTGGTGGATTTGAGTGATGGATTTGAGTGGTGGATTTGAGTGATGGATTTGAGTGCTGGATTTGAGTGATGGATTTGAGCGATGAATATTGATTTGAATGATGGATATGAATTTGAGTGGTGGATTTGAGTGATGGATCTGAGTGATGAATATTGATTTGAGTGATGGATTTGAGTGCTGGATTTGAGTGATGGATTTGAATGATGGATTTGAGTGATGGATTTGAGTGATGGATATCGATTTGAGTGACGCGTTATACATATCTCTTTTCGACGTATTGCGTACTGGACGGCAAGAAATTCGGGACGGTCTGGTATGTCAATTCTCTCCATCACGTCCTCCCAGTTGACATCGGCCACTTCGACGCGAACCATGCCCTTGAAATCCGGATCGTTGACGAATTTCGCGAGGTATGGAAGACTATGCTTTCCCGTCTGCTCGGCCGACAGGACATACTGCGGTTGAATGCCCAAGGAGGAGTTGCGACCGCTGGCGTCAGCTCGGCCGACATGGACAGCGATGGTGGTGTTGGCGCCTGGGTGACGCAAGAACTGCGTTTGTCTGTCGCCACGGCGTCGTTGTCATTCAGCGGAAGCAGGGTTTCCGACTTTCCTGCCGACGTGGCAGACCCGCGACGAACATCTTCTTGTACTTGCACTAGTTGGCCTGACACATGGTTAAGAGCCTTCGGGGGGCAATCTTAGAATTGGGGTCGGCCTCTGACGGCCGTATGTCATTCGACCCCCACGCACGGCCGCCCCAAGCGTCTTGCTGACAGAGCCGTGCCGTTTGCCCGCCACGCCGTTTACGACTTCCCTCTCCGGTCCCGTCTACTTAACCCCCCCATCCTGCCCCCCCCCTACTTTTCTGGATCCTGGATCTTCCAAACCCGACTCTCTCGTCTTGTTTCCTGGTTGTGCGGCGTCCAATAATGGAATCGATGGTAAGAGGGGATCCCGCCCACGCGCTGCTGGGAGAGTGTGTGGGAGGGAGCGGGCGCCTCGCTGCCGCTGCCGCCCTCCCCTCTCTTCCCCCTTCTCCTTCCTCTCTCCCTTCTCCGTTCTTCCATTCATTCCTCCACCACTAGCATTATGACTACGAGCTTCTAGATCTTTTTGCCTTCCTTCATTCGCGCTCATTGCTGTTTCAGCGAACTTCGCCTTGGGTCGTGCGACTTGCGATCCTCTGGCGACATGTTACCGATCCCGGTGCCTACCGAACCCTGGAGGTTCGCCGGGGGCCGCGTTTGGCTTGACGATATCGTCGCCAAGGGCCAGGATGACACGCTCCAGTACTTGGAAGGCTGTGCGTCCAGCCCTATCGACGATTCCCGCAAAGTGAACGACAAGACGGAGGCTTACCGGAAGTATGCCCGTCGTCTCTGGGATACGTAGGGCCCCTAACTCCTCCCTCTTCCTCCCGGGACCGTCAAGAGCGGCACATTTCATGGAATGGCAGGCTGACACCCTAATGTGTGCTCAAGGTTTTGCAAAACCGTCCTCAGCAAGGCCGGCCCGGGGGTCACAGCTGATCCGGAGGCGATCGCCGTGGACCTGTGCCACAATCGAGCTTCCGCAGAAGATAAGTTCAGGGCTTTCTTGCGACACTACGTCAAGACTTCGGTGCAGCTGCGTCCGTCACTCGGGCCTGAGGAGTACGAATGGGTTCGGGACGTTGATTCCGCAATCACGGTCACCGAGTTTTGGAAAGCCTTGGTTCGCGAGTTCGACTGTGGCTTCCTGCAAACGAAGCGACGTCAGGAGCCCGAAAAAGCTTCGCTCTACTCTCTCAAGTTCTGCGACACTTCGCAAGGTGCGGGCTCCGTGTGGAAGGTGTCGAAGGTTTGGCCGCCCTTGTCCCCCCCCCCAAACATCTCCCCGGGAAAGATGCTAACACGTGCCTGCGGGCGGACTCGTAGTGGATTCGAGAAGATCTCGCAGAGGAACTGGGTCTTTCGCGCGGCCAGATGTTCCGAAAGCAGGAAGTGACCGGCGAGGATGTTCTCGCCATCCTCTCCGTGCTGTGGGCGCGGCCGGACGTGGTGACTTGCCAGCCCACGGAGCGATTGACTTCCCATGCCATGATACTTCTTGCCAGCATGGGCGCCTTCCGGCTCGGTGCTCTTTCGCGCATACAGTATCATCAAGTGGAGCTAGCCATTGTGGCAGATCCTGTCAACAAATCGACGCGTCTGGTGGGCACCGTCACTATAGTTCACAACAAAGTCGACAAGAATGCTCTCAAAAGAAGCCAAGATGATCGGTGAGTGGCTAGCACTTTCCCCCGTTGCCCGTCTGCGCCATGACGGCGAGCTCACTCCATCATGACAGGATCTCATTTTCCGTCGCGTTCGCACCGTGCCCTATCGTCTGTGTGCTAAGCCTCATCGTCGCCAAAGCCATCAAGGACGATGCGTTTGATGTTGGCTTCGAGTCCCTCGACGCCCTCCTCTCTAGACCGACGCTTGGGGGCTTGGCCTATCTGCCAATTCGCTGGAAGAATGATATACTGGAAACCCCCATTTTTGAGTTGCCGTATCACCGGTTGTGGGAGATCTGGAGGTCGTGTACCTGGGCCCTTGGGTGTCGCGACCCGCCTCGCCCATACGCCATGCGCGTTGGTGGCGCCGGCCGGCTAGACGGTGAGATGATGACATGGGTGTGGCTTTTGCCAGTCGTGGGAAGAAGACTGATGACTTTCCAGGCGTACTCACACCCGCTGTGCGCAACTTCGTTGTCGACAACTCGTCGGAGGTGTTCGAGAAGAGCTATCTTCCGAATCATTTTCGAGGTCAGCTGGCAACATTTGCGTTCGGCGCGTTGGCTGGCGATTACGAGCCCTTATTCCGTCAGCTCTGCAATGCTTTCCTGAAGGTCGACGCAAATGCCCCGATGACCGTTACCCCCGAGGAAAAGGCGACGTTTGAGCAGCGACACGACTTGCGCACCATCAGCGCCAGGCTGGCGGACGATGGTGAAGGCGAACCGCCTGGCTGGCGAGACGAGCTACACAGCAGGGCCTCCTACATTCGGAAGTCCTTAGCCAAGCAGTTAAAGGTGCAGAAACGAACATTGTACTTCGAAAACATGGACAGGCAACGGGCTCTTGGAACCCGCTGCGCCCCCTTCCCTACCAAGCGCCAGACTCCGGCCATTCAAGACGAGTCTTACCCGTTCGAAGGCGCTTCGGCCATAGGATCGTTCTTCCAGCACTTTTCAGCCACACAGGACTTGCGTCCAGCCACACTGAAGTCTTACTCGGAGCTCCTCGTGGCATACCTTCGGCGCCTCCCGGCAGAGGTAGTCCATTCAGCCTATGCAGCCATTCGGGAAGCAACGGCATCGGACCCTGACCCCTCCTCGAGCACTCCCTCGCTTGCCGAGCCGCCACTCCGATCCAGGGCGTCAGATTCCACAAGCTGGTGTCTCTTGGGCTGCGGCTCATTCTGTCGTCGTCCGGGTCTCACACGCCACGTGAAGATTCATACCCGGGATGGCTCTTTCGCAAAACCTTTCAACTGTCCTGAATGCCGAAGACTCGGGTGGTCCGTGAGCAGCATAGAAGGCATTTCACATTGGAGCGCCCATATTGGCGTTCATCACGATGAGCGAGACGCGCCAAACTCAGTCTCCAACTTATCGCCACCCACGAGCTCTCCAACCCCGGTGGTCGACTCGGCGTCGACAGCTCATTGCTTCTTCTGCAACCGGAAGTTTAAAGGTAAAGGCCTCTACATCCATTACCACGTTCACAAAACGGATCCCCGATGGCAGAATCCGTTTGGATGCCCCGAATGCAAGCGACTAGGGCAGACAGCGATTGTAGACAACTTTGCAGCTTGGCAAGAGCACTCTGATAAGGTGCACGGGAACAGCAGAAAGACTTTGGATGAGGAGGCCGGCCTCAAAGCTGAGAAGAGTTGTCTGGAGGGTACGGACGCTATTCCCCCCTCCAAGGTCAGGAGAATGAAGGTTTCAGCCGACCGGGAGTCGGGCGAATGTCCAGCCAAGAGGCAGAAATCGTTCGATTCCAACGCTAGCGGCAGCTATGGCGACAGCTGCGCAGTGCCAGAGCGGAGCAAGATGATACTGCAACACGCTCGTGCAGGAAGTCAAGGCCACCCCATTATCCTTTAGCCTCCCTAGCAAATGAAGCCGGGCAGGGCCGGGTGCGGCGAGGCTAGGGGGTCATGGCATGATCAGGGGAATTGAGCATGCACCTTGGCTTCAGAGTCCAGTCAATCTTCCCCACACGAAACAGGGCTTACGTTTATACATAGAGATTATGGCGATGACACAGATCACGAGCGCTGAGGGGTGTCATGCGACGCAATGGCGGCATTACCTGGGGCTGTTTGAAGCGGAAGTGAGATGCAATTCACGACGTGCCTGTTTGCCTGGCGGTCTTCGCCCACCAGCCTCCCTGCCAACTGTATCATTTACATGCAAAGTTCAATTCACATCATCCACCGATGCACCTCTATCTCTTAGGGCAATCCAGGTTCAGAGGATATTTTCACCGAGGCCAATGCTCCAGAATCAGGCGTTGACAGGCGATGTGCACAACACTAGACAAAATTTCAGATCGTTCTTCTCCAAATAAGGGACCAGAATCTCACGTTGGCTTTTAATTCGACTGCGCTAAGCCTCGACTCCAGTCGGTGCACATTGGCCTTAAGCTGTTGTACTTCTTTTCTCTGCGATACAAACAACTCCTGCCAAAAGGCGGACGAGATTTGGTGTCTATCCCTGGTAGGTTTCAAGTTCTGGATACCATCGGTTGGCAGGAGAAGCGATGCTCTGAATCGATCCCATCGTGGGTCAATATGGCTTGTGGCTTCCGAAAGGCGCGACTGTGCTGCCATGGACGCTTCTTCGATAGAAATCTCAACCCAGGGTTCGGAAGACATGGTGGGGGACTTTGACTTTGCTGAATATAATCACAGGAAACGTGATCGTAAAGCCTATTTTATAGATGTCCCTTGAGGGCAACATGACGCTAAGGGTTATGAGTGTGGCGCTTGCGGTCGAAACAGGGGGGTAAGTTGCTTTCATGTGTGCTTGCGCTAAGTATAGCTGGTTGGGACAGCAAACCCATGGACCAGCTTTTAGAGACGGGTTCCCGTAGTTTGTATTTCAAGATTCAAAACACAATTTTCTATTCACAAGCATTTCGCGGAATGCAAGAACACCTCATGTATATAATGTGACATAAACCCGACAAAAACATGGCTATTGAAGCAAAATTCAAAGCGTGATATTCTCTTGAGATGGATGTACGTGAGTCAACTGACCTCAAAGAAGAGTTGAAGATGCCTGCGATCAAGCTCGAGGAAGCGGATGATCCAGCACCTACAAAACCCAGGATTATACTTCATCCATCGAAACCTACCGAAAAGATGAAAAAGTACCGGCGGGATCGACTTTATCGGCGAAGAAAAACCCTTTTCAACAAACTTCATGATTTCTTTGCAGATTTTCAACACGAATTCGGTGTTCAGGCATACGTCATGGTTCGAGCAGCCGGGAAATCGTACGAATACGACTCCAATCGGGACCAAGAATGGAGGTCTGACAAGTGCCTGGTGAGAGACATACCCCGTTCATTTAGTGATGCGAGTTCCGCTGATGTCGCAGCGCACAATGTATCCTGTTCCAAAACGGTACGGGCCCACTACCTCACCGGGCAGTGAGAGGCCCTCTATAGTTCAAAAATGAGCTGCACTTGGAGCCAACGTCTGTGCTTCACGAGAATTTCACCTCTATTAAGACAGACGAAATACCCTTTACCAGGGTGCTAAAGATGAGAATGACGAAGACAAGAAGCCTTCCATTGAGGGACTTATCTGTTGTCTGGGACACCAGCTTGTTGCAGGTGGAAGTAGGGGGGCGTCCCTCTGTGCGTGGAGATTTGGCCGGGACATCTTTGTTCCGATATTTCCTATCATTTTATGTATAGTATCACATAGTGATGTATCAGAGCGTCATATAAATGTGGGCCATCTTGTACTATCTGTAATTGATGTACCTGGCAGCAAGCCATGTGAACGTCACAATGGAGGTCTGGACGTAGTATACAAAGTAAGTATATCAATTGATGGAGGCTCCACAACACAGAAACGTTGCAACGCCTTGGCTGTCCCGAAGTTACCTGGTAGCCATCACCCGCAGAAGCGCTGGAGTTCATCCAGCTTGCACGAACAACCCAACAGTACAAATGGCCACCAGCTCACGAATTCTCGCAAGCCAGATACAAGCTCCCACCTTCCTGCCAGGCAGTTGCTACCCGTGAAAGCCCTGTAAGCCTCACAAGCGTGCCAGCAATCACCAGGACATGCATCCAGTTGTGGCCCTGTCCAGCAAGATCAAAGGTCCCTGGGAACCACCGCTCAGGTATTCTGGCAACATAGAGAACTGCCCCAGTCGAATTGAGGAACGCTAAGCCCACGAATGATTTCAGCCCCATCCTCTTATCTAGCTCCGCGAGCCCGAACACATACAGGGCATGATATATGTGGGCAAATAGACTGACGCCGAAACAGGTGTAGACAGCCACACGTGTTACTCGATTTCCGAGCTTTCGAAACCCAGGCCTCAGCGTGATGAGGCCACTCTTGACGGCAGTAGTAGTCAGGAGAGCGAAATGGATGGCACGTGAAGTCGGCTGGCACCGAAATGCGAAATGGGCCCCGGACAGCCCAGTTGCCCACATAAGTAGGATAATGCCGAGGTGATCCAGCTGATTGCTCAATCTATACACCTTGAAGCTATGATTGCAAAGGGTATGGAAGGCAGTAGAGAGGGAAAAGCAGGCTGCCACGCACAAGTAAAACAGGCCCAGAGCAAACCTATCCTGGAGTGGGAGGACAATTGCCCCGTCTGTGATGAGGAAGTCGTTTACAAATCTGCGGAGGAACCAGAGTGTTCCAAGGAGGTGGGACACGATATTGACTGTGATTGTACTCAAAATGGGCGATCGATGTCACTTTCCTGGCGAGATCACGTACCACTCTCATTGTGTATCTGGAAAATGCTTTTGAAACTTTTCCAATAAGAGGAAGAGACAGCTCTGCGAGTTTGATTAGCACCCTGTACTCGCTGTGGCAAACAAGGAGTTCTCACCGATAGCTAGAGAGGATGAACCTGTTGTCCCTAAGGATAGTCAGCTTGCGACGTAAGTTGAGTGAAATTGCAAGCAGACCTTTGCCAAAGCGCTATGATATAGTCAGCTTCTGGTACCACGGTAGTTTGATAGCACTTACGAATCTCGGACATTGCCAATAAGAGGCTTCTCTTGGCTTGACCCTCTCTCATGAAGCTCCTCGTCATTGTTATTGGGATGGAAAGAACGTGTGCAAGATTGAAATGATGTTTAAGGTGGTAATGCACAAGTTCAATTGATAAATACACCCGCCAAAAAGGCGATTGTATAGCAGTCTACAAATATTAAACCAAAAAATAAAGACCAATAGGAAATACAGACAAATGAAACCAATGGACTTCCTGCATTCTAGAGCGCGCTAAAACTGGCAATGGTCCCGCCACAGCTTGCAGATCATCGACGCTAGTATCCGTTGTCATCGTCTGGGACGCGTCGGCATCATCGACGAGTTTCAACGTCGGGAGATGGTGTGATATATGCCTGTTGTTGCAGGTCTGAAATTTGAACGAAACCTGATTGTCCATACAGCACTAAGTGCTGATCATCCCTGAAAGCACACAAGAGAGTGAACCCGCACGTGAAGTCCGTGTCTGGTGATACATATAGTATTCTGGCGCTGTACTTGTGTTGTTCATTCGGTTTCCACAGAGTGCAATACTTTTTGTCGTGCGGATCTCTGAACACATTCCATTCAAAACCTGGCAGGCTTGGTACATGGAAACGAGAATATTGACGGTCCATACCGGGCGCCCCTATGCTAGCAGGTGGCTGAGCAGGAGGGTAGCCTTGCGGGGCTGCATGAGTAGTTTGAGAGCTATGACCCAACGGCCGCACGTAAGCTTCATCTGTGTGATAGTACGGCTGGCCGCTTAGAGGATGAGAGGATCTCGTGGCTCTGTATCCTGCTTCCGGCCCCGCAGGATGATTCCATAAAGATTGAGAAAACCGCGGCCCTGGACTAGACAAATAATTCTGCCCTAGCGAAGGAGGATTCGGAATTGGTGGCCGTTCAAAGGCTGCCGGCTCAGAATAGCCTTGCCATGTGCTGGGTCCTAGGTTCCGAGGCAATGGTGTAACGGTTGGAGGTACAACCTGGCCTTGCCGTAAGCCAGGTGTCGTCCTGACCGGCCGCGGCCCTACTGAGCCGGACTGAACAGGCATAACTTGTGATGGGCGAGGGACTGGAGGCGGCCTTGCCCCCAAGTATGGTTGCGGTGGTACTGTTGCTGGTTCGGATTGTCCTTGGAAGTCAGGAATGAGGGACGCCCCGCTTCGCTGGAGTTGCCGGGCACCTCTTAGAGGTTGATTCCACACCGGCTGTGTGTTGAGTTGTTGCAGACCTACCTGCCCCCCTGAGTTGTTGTGATTATTAGCGCGAAGCATTGGCCAGGCGTCAATATAATCATTCCACTTCTTCCCGAGGGTATTGATGATAGTGGTTTTAGGGAACGCCATATCGCGGATGATGACTGTAATGTCACCACGTCGGTCGCCATTTCCTACCGCACAGTACACTTGATCGATATCAAGCGGGCCCATTTTCTGGCGTCCAGTGTT